GTACAAAAATTAATTTTTGTGAAAACCTTCTCACCTCTCCAACTGTAGCAAAATAACTATCTCTCTTCCTCTTTTCTTCAATTTCATCTCTTTTTTCATTCTTCTTTTTTTCTCTTTGATTTTTCTCTACTTTTTCACTCAACTCTGGTTTTTCTTTTAACTCTTTTTCCTCAAACTCTTTCTTTTTTCCAAGAACTTTAATTGGTCAGCAAATACATTTGTAGAACTCAAAGGTACAAGAATGATTTTTCTACCATCTTTTACAAAAGAATACCTATTCAAATAGCCATCATACATAACCCTCCTGTCAAATTGTCATGGTCGGCCAAGCAATATGTCTCCAGCATGCATTGGCAAAACGTCACAAAGAACTTCATCTTTATATTTTCCTAAAGTAAAAGATATTAAAGCTTGAGAAGTTACCTTCATTGTTCCACTATCATTGAGCCATTGGAGCTTGTTAGGTTTAGGATGATCTTGAGTTGAAATTTGCAATCTTTTGATCAACATAGTACTTACTACATTGATGCAACTTCCACTATCAATGATAAGACTACAAGCAATCCCCTTGACTAAACACCACGTGTGAAATAGGTTGTCTCTTTGATCATCAACATCATTCTCCATAACTTGAGTCTTAAAAATTCTTCTTGTAATAAGTGCCAAATGAATACCATCTTCTAGTTTTTTTTTCATTCTTCTAGACTTCTTCAACTAGATCATTGATCTCCCCTCCATTTTTCTCGTCTTGGTTCATGATTGTACAAACAGTAGTTTTATATACTTAGGACTTCACATGCTCAACTCACTGATTTTACACTCAGGAACACTCGTGTTTAACACACAAAGGTAGGCTATTTGAGAAAGTGACTAATTTCTTATCAAGGTAGATAATATGGATAAAGCAATTCTGATAGTAGCGAGCTATTCAAGACAATCAAGACAAGGTAATTATGTAGTAACAACAAAATAAAACAAGAAATGAACAAATAAATAAGGGACAAATATTTTTGGATATAATTGCACACTAAAAAAAATGAATTCCAAAGATAATGGTCGTGAAAATCGAACACAACAATTCCAGATTTATATGCTTTGGGGAAAAATGAGAATAGAAATTTATTTGATTTTCAAATAAACGTGCAAATGGTCTAATGATAAGGATATATTAAGAACAATATGATAAGAGTTTTTTTTTTTTGTTTTTTTCTTTCAAGATCTAAATATGATCTTTAACAGGACACTAAGAACAAAGTAGAAGGATAATGAAGAACGTTGGAAATGATAGTAAAAAAATAAATGACAGATTTAAAGAGACGATAAACAATAGCAAAAATTAAAGATAAAATCAATTCTAGAGTCGGCCACAAAGATGCAACCTACGCTTTGATACCAAACTGATAAGGCAACCCTAATACTCAGCCCAACGATCCAAGCTTTTGTTTTAGCAAGAACCCTTGAATCAAAGTAATTAACACCTCCTTATGCGAAATTTGGATCAACCAAGAGATAAGGCAAGAATTAGATTACCTCTTACGATCGAAGATCTAGAAGCAAGATTTGGAACCTTATTCTAAATTGAGTCACTCCACAATCTAACTTGATCAAGGCTTGATTGAATGGCTCGGGTGCAATTCTACCACAAGAATTGCTTGAAACTTAGAAATGACAAATATGATGCTCGGATTTCTAAGGGAAACGTCTCAATTTGAGATATGAATTATACATTCATCCACGAATCTGAATTTTACATAACATATTGTGGGTATTTATAGTCTCCCGACAAAAGAATTTTGTGGATGGGATTTATTCGAGATGTTTGTGGACGAGATTTATTCTCGATCCCCTTTAATCTCTATAAAGAATAAGTCAAATTGACCATTTGACTTTTACATAATTTATGAAATTAAACATAATTTTTCTAACAAATGTTGATGTGCTTGAGTGGCTAATGCGATAGACTTGAAATTAATTGAGTTCTCCGTGCGTAGGTTCGAATTTTGTTGGTGTTGGAACACCGTGATTCTTATCAGTTGCACTAAATTATTTATGCTCAGTGCAACTATGCTAAATGAGCTTCTTGCTAAATGAGCTTCTATTATTGACAGTGTTGTAAGTATTTACTTATATCTCTTGTTTAACATAGATATTTTTTAGAAGTTTTGTCTTAGTGGAATTCTGCTTCTATTCCTTAAAACGAGATTGTTAGTGAACCTGTGATTGTGAAGTATGATGATACTAATATAATCATTTTAGTTGTTCTCATATCTTACTTAGGTTCAGCACATAATTCATATTATTTATTTATTTTTTATGAAAATTGCATTAACAAGTGAAACATGCTAACAACTTACTCCATTATCGGTTACTATTCCTTTCTCTACATTGGACAACATTATGCAGACAATGGACTAGTAAGGCATCGACTACCCAATGTATTAAAAGAGCTAGAAGTATAGAGCCTATACATTATTATTGTCTCTATTCTTCTGCAGTTTTTAGTAATATGTTTCTTAAATATTTCCTAAATTTTATGTTCATCCAATTGAATACTTTATTTTGTAATGGGGAAGTAGATTGTAAAATTTGACGGATGAATGGAAGTCCCTCCATATTTATTGTGTGATAAAATATTCTTTCATGTTAGATTATATTAAAAAAATATTGTCGAGTCTTTTAGTAAAAAAATAAAAAATTATAATAAAATTTAAACAACATAAAAGAAATGTCTTTAACAAAATTATTACATTAATTATACTAATTATAAATGATTAAATAACATTATTATAACATAAAATTAAAGCTATAAATACTCTATGATAGCGTTTTTCGTAGGCTATCATATCTATCATTTGTTGTAGTGTGGTAGACCTGAACTATTACACTGTACAAAGTCAAAGTCGAAGCAAGGATCCGAGTACAAGAATATGCAATGGTTCGAGTTTTTGCAGGAGTTAACATTGAATCAAAATTTATACCTTTGTAACGATGATGTGAGCAACATTTGTTTGAGTCAAAATTTATACCTCTCTGACGACGACATTGGCAACATTTATTTCAGCCATGCACAACGTCTGTCCAACCATTACCTTCCTTCTCGTTCTCATTTAGGTTACAAATGCACTCCTCTCATCCGTTGTCGAGGTATAACCACCGCCATATTTATGAAAGTTGATAGTTGATTAATAAATAAATTATATATTATAGAAAGAGAAAAACGTAAACCCTAAACCCTAAACATTTCCACAAATTCTGAAAAACGTAAACCCTAAACTCTGTATTGTTTCCTTGAGTAATAATATTTTCAAATCTATTCACATTTTTTAGTGGTAGATATTGTGTCAGTTGGTATCAGAGTCAAGTTGGTAACCAAGGGTTTGATATTATTACTAAACGAGATGAATGGTAGAAGTGCTTCTATGGATATAGTTATGGAAAAGCTTGTTGGCAATAATTATAATTATTTGAAGTTATGTGTGGAAGCTTATCTACAGGGACAAGATTTGCGGGATTTAATTGAAAGTGATGACACAGAAATTTCAGTCGATACTCCACAAAATGCTGAATTACGCCGAAAATAGAAGATCAAGTGTGGAAAAGCTTTATTTACCTTGCGAACTTTGATTAGCAAGGAATATGTTGATCATGTTCGTGATTTAAAGTCACCAAAGCAAGTGTGGGAAACACTTCAAAAGCTGTTCACTAAGAAAAATACAGCTCTGATTGCAATTTCAAGAGAATGAACTATGAGAATGTTTGCTTAAACCACCACACCTAAATGGTGGAAAAGTTATCTATTTATAATCAAATAAATTATAAGGATATGGAAAGAATAATAAATAAAATGATACCTGTGATAAGAAGGCAAATATGATATATATGATAAACTATAATTTAGTACTAAATATCCTTAACATTCCCTTGCAAGCTGAGCGTTGGATTTGAATGAACGTGAAACTTGGATCTGAAAAATTCAAAGAGGCAGTGAGAAACACTTTTCGTGAAGATGTCGACAACCTGGTTCGGAGGAGTCGTAGAGAAACACTTTCTTGGTTGTCGAAAACAGTAGAGGGATCGTTGCTCAGCGACGATGCTGTCTTGGCTTCGATGAGAATATATCTAACCCAAGAAGTAGAAGGGGAAACCTAGAGCAAGGGACAAAGACAATGTTGAAGTTAGAAGAGTCGCCTTGGGCGAATGAGCCAATTTTGGCGAGAAGGGCGGCGACAACTGGTTGGCAAAGAGGCCAGTGCGGCACCCAGATTCCAAAGATAAATCTCTGCAGGAGGTCGATGGGCTTATCGAGATTCCGTATATTTTCGAAGAGAACGATAATGAGGATCCTGAGATAAGGGTTTCTGTGGAGGATGAAGGGTTGTTTGGGAAAAAAATGAGAGAGGCTATGTTGGCTAAGGGGAAACCAATTGTGTTAGAGAAGGTGAGGTTGTATGTACAGAGTTTGGCGAATGGTGATTCAGAGGACAAAAGGATGGAGCTGAAGAGTAATCAATCGGCTCCGCCTGCGGCAGCCATAGTGACTGCCCCTGCGACGTCAAAGTTAGCAGTGGTGGTGGAAAATAATAGTAGAGAATTCAAAAGCCATTGAAAAGAAAAGATCGGGGTTGCTAAACTGGAAGAACTCTATTACCATGAGAACTTTGCTTAAACCTCCACACCTAAATAGTGTGAAAGTTATCTATTTATGATAAAATGAATTACAAGGATATGAAAAGAGTAATAAATGAAAATAATAATAAATGAAAATAATAATAAATGGAAAGATACCTATGATAAGAAAGCAAATATCCGCCTTATAATAAAATATAAAATATAATATATATGATAAATTATAATTTATTATTAAATATCCTTAACAAACTAGCTGTGGTAACTTAAGGTAATTTTTTTGTTGAATAATATTTTTTGAAAGTGAAAAATTTGTGTTCTGAAATTTTAGAATTAGATGTTGAGGAGTCAGTGAGTGATGCTCGATTACGACGTTATCTTATTCGTGGATTACGAAGACTTTATGCCCTTTGTTTCCTCACAAGGGTGAGCAAATAAGCCTACAGTTTGAATTATTTCTAATCAGGAAGCTTTGATTAGGCAAATGACTAGCAGCATCGAGCTTTCTCCAAAGTCAAAAGATGTGTTGTATGTCAAAAATCAAAGGAGACAAAATATTCATTCAAAGCCTTCATATTAGAAGTGAGGAGTCGTCAAAGAAGCCATTTAAAGCTTATTATAGGTGTGGAAAATCTGGCCATTTTAAACGAGATTGTCGGGTGAAAGTGGTGTGTCATCGTTGTGGAAAGTCAGGCCATATTAAGCCAAATTGCATAGTTAAAATGTAGGAATCAAAAGAAAATGTTGTACATGAAAGTAAAAGTTATTCAGATTCAATTTGGGAACATTGTTTAATTATTGATGTTCTTGACCAGCCAACAAATGTGACTTCAGCTGTACATCAAGATGATGTCTCTGAAAATGCTCATGCCTTTATAGACTACAATGAAGAATGGATTGTCGATTCTGGTTGTTCTCATCATGTAACTGGAAACAAAACTCTTCTATCAGATGTTCGTCCACATTGTCAAAAGAAGGTCATTGTGACAACTGATAATTCCATGCTTCCAGTGACAAAAGAAGGAGATTTGAATGATGGGAGTGTTGGCTATAATACTCATAGAAAGGGTTGGAGGTGTATGGATTTGAAAACAAAGAAGGTTATTGTATCTCGTGATGTGGTGTTTGATGAAATTTCAAGTTACAAAGACAATGCAAATGGCAGTAAAAGTACAACTACTGTTGCACTCTTTCCTGATGATTCTACATTAGGGAGAAAAGATTTTTCAATTGCAACTCAAGCTGAGGAGAATATAGAAGCCACTACAAACATTGAAGTTGCCACAAGAAAAAATCCTCAAAGACAGAAAAAGTTACTAGGTCATTTTTCTGATTTTGTAGTTGACATTAATCAATTTTATGTTCTGTCTTCTTTTTTTTTTTTATGGGAGATACAAATGAAAATGAGTCGAAGTTGTACATTGAAGCTAAAGAAATTTCAGAATGGGAAAATGCAATGATGGAAGAAATTTCAGCACTTGAAAAAAAATGCCACCTGGGAGCTTGTACCAAAGTATCATGATGTTGATTTAATTACTTGTAATTGGGTTTACAAGGTGAAGAAAAAAGCTGATGGTAGAATTAATAGACATAAAGCTCATCTTGTTGCTTGTGGGTTTTCTCAGCAATATGGTCGAGACTATGATGAGACTTTTAGTCCAGTCGCAAGGATGGTAATATTACGGACAATCATCTCTTTAGCTGCTAGTAAAGGTTGAAAATTATGGCAGCTTGATGTGAAAAATGCATGCCTTTACGGAGAGTTCGATTGTGATATTTTTATGGAGCAGTTGCAAGGATTTACCTCTAAGGAATATCCTGATTATGTGTGCAGACTTAAAGAAGGCATTATACAGACTCAAGCAAGCTCCTTGTGCTTGGTTTGGTAAGATTGCTCAATATCTTAATTTTTTGTGGTTTTAAGTTTTCATGTGTTGATCCGAGCTTATTTGTTAAGAAAACAACAACTGAATGCAACTTGCTCTAACTTAATGTTGATGACATGATTATTACGGGTGATGATGTTGTTGAAATTAGTAGTCTCCAAGATGCCATGTCTGTTCGTTTTGAAATGAAAATATATGGTGAAGCTGATTGTTTTCTGGGTTTGAAAATTAAGAAATGTGATGGTTATTTTCTCTTTAAAAAAGGATATGCATCGATTTTATTGCAGCAGTTTCGTAGGGAGAATTCAAGAGAAAAAACTACTCCTATGGAACCAAATCTCAAATTAGCTAAAAATGAAGGGAAGTCAATAGTAGATGCTACATTCTTTCGTCAACTTGTTGGTAGTTTATTCTATTTAACTATCACAAGGCTAGACATTGCTTTTTTAGTAGGAGTTGTGTCGACTCATTTAATTGTTGCAAAAATGATTTTTTGTTACATCAAGGGCACTCTAAATTATGGATTAATGTATGAGAAATCAAAGTCATTTTTCTTGAGTGGTTTTGTGGATGCTGATTGGGTTGGTGATGTAAACGACAGACGCTCCACAACAGGTTTTGTTTTACAGCCGGCTCTGCTGCAATTTCATGATGTAGTAAAAAGCAAAGCACTGTTGCTTTGTCAAGTTGTGAAGCAGAATATGTTGCTGCTACAATGACTACTCAAGAATGTTTGTGACTCAGGAGGCTTATTCAAAAAATGCTGGCAACACTGATGGTGTTAATATAACACATACGGAAGCAATTTGGATCTTAGGCACTCTAAGTACATCAATTATAGTGAATTAGCTAGCATGTTCAAAAGCATTAAAACTCAATGAGTTTGAATACTAAACTTTTGTCGCTCAAGTTTCTTTTTTCTCACGAATCAGTTTCGAACCACCACTAGTGTCTTCTTCACTATTCTCCGGCCTTAGAACGGGATTGTGGAATCCGGTGAGTGACTAAACTTGAGAGAGATTTAGTATATATGAAGAGAGAGTTTGTGAGAAGTTTTTCTCAAGGTTTTTTCCAAAAGCCAACCTCCAAGTACCATGATCATTCTATTTATAGAGTCATGTTTGCATGTTCATGCAAATTTGAGATCACCAAATTTTGGCACTCAAAATTTCACTCAAATGTTTGGGATTATGTGATATGAATCCAACAACTGATCACTTCCATGTACCCGAACGAGCAATTACAAGAAGTAATACAAAGAAGATTCAAGTATCAAATCAAGAAAATAATGAAGTGACTGACATTGAAAAGTGATTAGAAAACTTGTCATTGGTAGTTAAACTACCAATTAAGACAATTTATGAATGCCTTATTTTCTTCAATTTGTATTTAATAGCATTTATTAATAGTTAGATTGAATGTCTTATTTTTTTCAATTGTATTTAATAGCATTTATTAATGGTTTGTATGAATGCCTTATTTTCTTCAATTTGTATTTAATAGCATTTATTAGTGATTTATGGTTATTGGCGGAACTTTATTATGTTAGGGTTATCTTTTGGGCCTCTTTAAACGCATGTAATATTCATATTTGGGATGAATTGTTGAATACAAACAAAACCTTTGTGTTTTCTTGATACCTTTATGGTGTTATTCTTTTTCAAACCTTGCTTTAGGTTTGATGTTTAAACCGATTCATTGAATTAATTTTGATCAAGCTAATTCTGGAGTGAGTCGTCTTGGAATCAAGAGTGACTATCGTAGATTTCAAGTTCAATCTAAGAGTCATTCATCTTCTAACCAACTCTTGGTTGGAATCAATCCGTTAAGTTAGCTTTCACGGTGAATATTTTGCAAGGATTCTAGAAGGACCTCCCAGCTTTGCAAAAATCTAGCATTGTTGGGGCTTATCATTATGTGGCAAGCATGCTTGAGTTAACTAAATTTTGACGCTCAAAATTCCACTCAAATTTGTGGGGTTTATTTGGCAAGCATGCAAGTTTTGTTAAACCAAATTTTGACACCTCAAAATTCCATTAATATGGATTTTTGCATTAAATGAATGGCAACATTTTGACTTTCTTCATTTTGATTCAACAATCAATTTGAATTATTAATTTCAAATTAAAGTAATATTAAATGATTAATTAAACTGTTTAATTAATATTTAATATTAATTCAAATGTCAATCCCAATTAATTCCGATACATATTTGATTAAGAAGATTCTCTCTTTTTGTTTAATTCGTAAATAAAACAAAAAAATGCAGTTAAATATATCGTATATATTATGTAGCGCATTCTCCCTAATTTGAATTCGAACACTTCGAACTCACTCGTCACACTGTTCTATGGTTTAGTCCGATATGAGCTAGCAGAGGAACCTAACGGACCTATAGATCATGGGCTCCAACGATCCAAGATTAACCGGTTAAACTCATTAACCTTGTTAACCAGCATTCCTTAACTACTAGGACATTCCACTATAGCCTAGTAGTTGCACTTCCCTTACTATACATATATTTTTGTCCATTTGATATAACCATGATTAGTAAGTCGATCCTTCACAGGTTGTTCGTAACTAGAGCTGGGTTAATTTACAGTTTTATCCCTGAAGTTATTTCTTGTTCCTTATGTCTCACTGATTCTCTAATGAACAATTGGTTTGTGGTCCAACCAGTAAACCGAATCCCTCTCAGACCAATGAGAGGGTGGGGCCCCTTGTTCAAGACCTGGAGTCAGTACTTAAGGGAACTTGATATGATAAGAAATCACTACCAAGGAAGTAAGATTCAGATTACCTTGTTGATCGAATATCTTAAGGCAAGAACATTGTTTGAGATTCGAATCACTCCACAAGCAAGATCGATCACGTCTAGCTTGAATGATTCTTGTTGATCAAATATCTCAACGCAAGAACAATTGTTTGAGATTCGAATCACTCCACAAGCAAGATTGATCATGTCGAGCTTGAATGATTCTAAATGGAACCTAAACTACATAGAATGGCAAATAAACTTAGCCATTGACTAAAGAAAAGCACAAATGGTTCTTTTACTATATTTTCCAAGTCTCTTACACATACAACATACATGGCTTTATATAGCCTCAAAATGAAACTATTAAAGAGTTGTAACATTCATACTTAATGGCCATAATTAATCATTAAGTAATTGTAACCTATAGTAAATAAAAAGTCTTAAAATACATAAATGAAATACAATAACTCTAAATTACTCTAAATTGTAATCTACCCAAAATTTATACATAAAACTTCATTATTCTTAAATGTGGCATGAATTGAAATATCTTTTGATAATTTCAACAATATTTTCTTCACATCTTCATTGAAGCATCTTGTATGATTAATGTCCCTTGGTTCATATCAGAATTGATAAGGCAACCTTAATCCTCAGCCCAACGATCCAAGCTTTTGTTTTAGCAAGAACCCTTGAATCAAAGTAATTAACACCCCCTTATACGAAATTTGGATCAACCAAGAGATAAGGCTAGAATTAGATTACCTCTTACGATCGAAGATCTAGAAGCAAGATTTGGAACCTTGTTCTAAATTGAGTCAAACCACAATCTAACTTGATCAAGGCTTGATTGAATGGCTCGGGTGTAATTCTACCACAAGAATTGCTTGAAACTTAGAAATGGTAAATATGATGCTCGGGTTTCTAAGGGAAACGTCTCAATTTGAGATCTGAATTACATTCATCAACGAATCTCCCGACAAAAGACGTTTGTGGCCGGAATTCAATCCCGATATTTTTGTGGACGGGATTTATTCCCGATCCTCTTTAATCTCCACAAAGAAGAAGTCAAATTGACTTTTACATAATTTATAAAATTAAACATAGTTTTTTCTAAGAAATGTTGATGTGCTTGAGTGGTTAATATGACAGATTTGAAATCAATTGAGCTTTTCGCGCGTAGGTTTGAATTCTGTTGTTGACATATTTTTTATGTGAATTTGAGCTCTTTGCGCGTAGGTTCGAATTCTGTTGTTGACATATTTTTTTGTGAATCATTAGAAAACTTTCAGTCACCTTGACGAATTAGAAAAAACTTCGCGCGTAGGTTCGAATTCTGTTGTTGACATATTTTTTTGTGAATCATCAGAAAACTTTCAGTCACCTTGACGAATTAGAAAAAATCATCACTTTCTTTCCGTCACCTCCTTTTAAGTCACCTCCTTTTAAAATGTTTTGATCAAATCTAAATGCTTCACTTACAAAAATATTGAAGTGTAGTAAATCTATAAACTATTTTCTTAAAGAATAAGTCAGCAGCATGCTTTGCATCATCCATAAATCTATCTGTCACATGCTTCATCTTCGGCCAACAAAAGTGTTTATGCAACATCTTATAAACTTTATTAATACTAAGATGTCCCATTAATGCACCACCATATGCTTCTCCCAAAAACAAATCTTTTATAGAGCATTTAGGAATACAAAGCATACTCTTAATATTTAAAAAATTATGAAACACATAATAATCATCCACCATTTCTTTTTGCAAGACAAGATGCATAAAAAGTTCTAAAGTCTTGATCATCTATATTTAATTCAATAATATGCTCAACTCCAAGAGTAAGAGAAGTAAAGAGATCATATCTTTTAGATAACACATGAGCTACTGTATTATCCTTATCTTGCTTATACTTGAAGACAAACGAAAATGTTTCAATAAATTCCACCCACTTTGCATGTCTACGGTTCAGTTTGCTTTGACCCTTCACATACTTCAGGTTTTCATGATCAAAGTAGATCACAAATTCTCTAGGCCATAAGTAGTGTTGCCACACACGCAATATATGAACTAAAGCAAATAATTCTCTATAATAGGTAGTATATTTCAATGTTGCCCCATTTAGTTTTTCACTAAAATACACTAACGGCTTTTCTTCTTGAATTAAAACAACACTTATTAAAACAAATAATGATGCATTGCTTAATTTGTTCTTAAGCAAATTGAATGCATTCTCTTGCATTCCTCCCCATTTAAAAACAACATTCTTTTTCACGAAGTCATTCAATAGTTCAGTTATGGTTCTAAAATCATTTATAAATCTCTTATAGAGGTTAGCTAACTCATGAGAACTCCAAAATTTACGTGCACTTTTTGGTGTTGGCAAATCCATAATGAATTTAACTTTGTCTCTATTCAAAGCTACTCTACTTTTACCAACTATGAAGCCAATAGAGTGAACTTTTTCCATGCAAAAACTACCCTTACTAAAATTAAATTTCTCTTTTCTATGTGTAATCAAAACTAATTTAACATCCTCCACATGCTTAAGCAAAATCTTCAAATAAATTATAATATCATCAATATAAACAATATGTTTTCTCATATATTTTCTCAAAACCTTATATATTAAGCGCAAAGGTGTACTAGGAGCATTAGTTAACCTAAAAGGCATAACAAGTCATTCATACAATCCAAAC